CGAGCTCAAGAAAATATTATCGAACCAAATTACGGAAGACCGAAATATCCGTAACCGGCCGGATATTACAGCGGGAATCTCGGCACGTATCAATGAAAGACAGACCAATTAGCAAATCATAAGATTTCTTAACTTTTGTAAAATTGTATCTAAAGTAGGACTCCTCTACTATATTAATGAGGTCTGATTATTTGTAATACGTATTGTAACACGTATCCAAAGGCAATATATTATTATTTCTAGTTCTTATTATTTAGCTACTTTGTTCTGACATCGATTGAGGCAATTTCTGGCTCGATGATGACCAACCTTCAAAGCTAACACTGTTCAACTTGTGTGGTTTGCATTCATTTTTCTATCATTAATTTCAATATTAATTTGTTTTCTCAATTTGTGTCAAATTATATCACGGATCCTTAAAATCGCATATAAATTCAAATGTTATTATATATATTACTTTACTACTATTATAGAAGTGGTTAAGCGAGGAGCTTCGGGTCGTTCAGGGTGTTTTGGTAAATTCGATGCTTTTCACTTGCTAAGCTGGGTTTTAGTGTAAGTTAATTCCCAATAGGCTTAAGGGTGTTGTACAGTGCGTAATAGAAGTTGGACTCTTTTGCTTGAGTCAATAGAAATATCAAAAGTTTCTCCATTTAATCCCACAATTTCACGGATCCTTAAATCTTCGTTTGATTTGCTTGACTATGTGTACTATTTTAGGACTAAAATGAGTTCCAAGGAAAAGCTTACATAAGTTATTTCAGTAGTTTAAGCAAATTGTAAATTTTTTCTTTCTTTTAACAAATGTAATTCAATTAATTTTAAACCTTACGTTATAAATTTTTTAAAATTATTCAAAACCTTATAAAATGATAGCTCATCAGTATTGCAAAGTTGAAGAAAAATATTTTTATTTTTTAATCCTATGTTTTAACCATTGTTCTAAAAGTCAAGATTCCTATTCTTGCCTATGGTTAATTTGGAAAACAAACGCATGTTAGTAAACTCATAAAGCATATGAACTACAAACTTTACATCTTCAACTTAAAGAACAAAGTAATCTTTGCTTTTATCTTTGTTCAAGTTCCCAATAATTTTTAATTTGGAAACAAGTTTTTGGCACTACAAATCTGAACCACTTTTTTCATGATTTTGCGAAATGTTGGAAAACAAGTTTCTAATGTTTTTCCCCTTTCTTTCTAAGGATATTGAAAAGGTTTGTAAATTTAATAAAAAAAAATGGTCGGATAATTTTTAAAGTTTGCTATTAAAAAAAAGCCATGAAATATAATTACTATTATTACCTATAATTAATGTTTGTAATATCATGTAATACATTATGTTAACTTATGAATACATAGAAATCAAATCAGAATTTAAAATTTAAAAATAACAGGCTAACATTTAAAAAGGTAATATTAAGTTTGGTAACGAGTGAATAACTTTTGAACATACACAAATTCCATCGAGATACTTTTTTCAGAAAGAAGCTGAAAATATAACAAAATGGACATTATCTCGAGTTCCCTAATGATAAATAATCAAAATTATTAAATTAATTAATTATATCTAAATTTGCAAAGACAGAGTCAACCATTCAAGATTGGGTTTGTACGTAGCCGGGCTAACCATCACTAGTTATATATAAGCAAAAATAAAGAAGTACCTGTGCTTTTTATTAAAGTTAGATCATTTATTCTATTAGTGATAATACATTATGCAACTTATAGAAAGATCAATTTTGACAAGAGTTGGTGTTCTTCTCCATCACACCATAAATACTGGCACAGGAAAAATTTAGTTGTCTTACTCTTGTTGATAAAGTGACATATCAACAACAATTTTTTGATAAAACATGCTATTATACTCGTCCCTTAGGAAAATATGTTGAATACGATTAGAAAAATGTTGAAAGAGTTCTAACTTTTTCTCATAGAGAAGAGGAGAGCAAAATTTAGTCAAAGTAACCATCTTCATTCTTCCAAAATCATATCTATCTCGTTAAGTTACAAAACTATAAAAAATTTAAGTTGCCACATGTAATTTTGAAGTTACTCCGCATATTAAACTCATTTGTTTAAATTTGAATTTTTAATTTTATCATGGAGAAGTATACAAACATCAATTTGTAGGGATGCTATTTAGAAATTAACCAATACTTATTTTATCCTGAAAATTTGAACTAAAAATCTTACTTTCAGGACAAATTAGGACATTTGTGTCCCGAAAAATTGAATTGAAAATCTTATTTTCAGGACAAATTAGGATATTTGTGTCCCGAAAAATTGAATTGAAAAACTGAAATTCAAGACACAATAGCTAATTCCTAAATAGCACCCCTTTAAAATGGCTACCTAGTGTTGTTTCTACAACTATTATATTTATTGTTTTACTTCTAACAATTTCGACACCACTTATAAAAAAAATTAATATATCACCGCTTATTGTTATGCAAGAAAAAAAATCATCTAAGTTTGTAATATTATCAGCATACATACACTATTAAAGAGGAATATTGATTACTTCTGGGGTGTGCTTGGTATAACGGTCCAAGAAAATGTTTTCTTAGAAAACAAGTAATAATTTTATTCATTTTCCGGTGTTTGGTCGCAAATTAAGGAAAATGATTTCTCAAGATTATCCNTGAATTTTTTTTTTTGAGAATGTTGAGTTGGGTTGGTGAGGGACGGGTAGGGAATGTTGAGAAGAAGTTTTGGAAAATGTTTTCCCTTCTCTTGATAAAGAAAATATTTTCCTTCAATTGGAGGAATGAGTTCATAAGGAAAATATTTTTCAAAATATTTAAGCTAACCAAACATAAAAAAATTAAAAAATATTTTTCGAAAAATATTTCCCCTCCCTCTAATTTAAAAAACGTGGCATGAAGTGACATGATCAAGAATTCAGGCCAGAACATGGAAAAGACCTATAAGAAAGAGAAGTCATACTTAATATTTATATTCACAACACAAACCAATTTGTGGTGTTCTTGTCCTCATCAAACCACAAACTGCCATGTGTTCCTCCTCTTTATAAGTTCTTTTTTCACTTTTAGGGGTCGTTTAATTTGAATACGGTTTATATTGGGATAACTTATATTGAGATTAATTATTCTGGTATTATTTTTTATCCACTGTTTATTATGTTGTATTAAAAATATAATTACATAATTTTTAAGAAGAAGATAAAAGTTATTCCGGTACTAATTTTAATTCTGGGATAACTTATACCAGGTTTGCTAACCAAACAAAATATTAAGGTGGTATTAAATTTTTATATCAACATTATATCTACTTATACCTCACGCCAAACGAGTCCTTAGTGTAATAGAATCACTTGAGATTTCTCTCTAATAAAAAAATAAAAATCATATGTTTTGTCTATTTGTATCATACACGTTTGAAGATGAATGTCAATCCTTTCTAGAACTCTCTCAGGTTATCAATTCTTATTTAAATGATTGATATGAAAAACTTGGAGCTTATGTGTCATGTTATTCCATTATGAATTTAGGCCACGAATGAAATTGATTAATAAAAGAAGTCATAATCCTTGATTATTTTTATTTTCATATATAACCAATTAGTGGTGCTTTTGTCCCTATCAAACCAAAAACTGCCATGTGCACCCATTGGTTGTCTACGGTGACAAAGACATTAATCATTTCATTTGTCATTAATGATTGAGGAAAGTATTTAAGTTATACTACTTATTAGTGTAATTAAATTTATAATAGTAGATTAATTATTATTTTTATCAAATTTTTATTTTGCGCTTCTTATAAGTTTTATTGGTAATTCTAGATACAATTGAATCGAGTATATTGACTGTATAAATATTTTTTATATAAGTATATATATAACTTAAGCCTAGGAAGAATTTTTTTTTGAAAAAAATATCTTTTTAGAAAAGAATCTAGGTGATTTATTTGCATTGAAAACATGTTGCTTCTTTGTCTTTATCATGTGCTAGTCCTAATCATAGCTGATGGAATTTGAAACGAAACATTGAAACCCACTAACCAGCAGATATTACACGCAAAAAAAAAAATGATATTTATTTGTTTATTTTCTTGTGAAAGATTATTTGGTATGACGTTTGGTATCTTTGTGGCATGTATGAAATGCAAGTTTGAATACATTAAAGATGAAAGTGATTGATATTCAATTAACATTGTCATTATCAAAAGGGTAATCACACTTTAATTATATCTATTTAAGCAACAAAAACTTTAAAACTCCACTATTTATTTCCATAATTAATGTTGATATCAATTATTAATGAATTTGCACATGTTAGTACTGTGTAAATATCTTCTCCTACCAATAAAGGCTGTGGCAGAGTGATAAGTGCTATTTCATCTTTAACCTGAGGTCTCAGATTCGAGTATTGAGTATGGAATCGCATTTTTCAAGGAGTGCTTTATCCATCTACCTCCCCCAATATGGGTTTTTCAGTGCGAATCCATATTTAATCGTGCACCAATGCAGATACCGAAAAACCAAAAAAAGTTAAGCTAGCTTTTGAACATAAATTTGATTGAAACTTGAAAAAATAATTTTTGAAATTGTGAAAAATAATTTTTCAAGTTTGAATTTCTGTGTGGAAAAAAAATTGCGCCCAAAAACTACCCTAAATTAGTTTTCGGACCTTAAAAATATTTGAAATTCCCCAAAATATGACCATATTTCATAAATAAATAATGTTCTTAATTGTTTTTTACCGGCTAAATATCTTCTCCCGGTAAAAACAGGTGGCCGAAATTACTTGAACTATACAAACACGAAATTGACTGGCCATAGCAGCAGCCACGTTATCTATTTTCCCTGGGTCCCACTGTCACTCTGGCACTATTATCTGACCTGGCAACTACATTTTTGTTATAATATTATTTTCCTAAACTATTAATCTCCAATCATATCCACACAACACACCCAAGATTCCAGTAAATTCCATATCTACCCTTTTGCCTTATTTAGAAGCCAATAATAAATCAAATCCACTATCTTCACGTAAACCTCAAAAGAGAGGATAAATCTCTGCTTAAACTCTTGTTATTTAGCTGTTTTTATAGTTATTTTTAATATCTATGTTTCTGGTTCGGTGGTTGAATTATTGAAGGGAAAATACATAATCTCCTGTCCCTAATTTTTGATGATTTTGAGATTAAGGAGCAAAAAGAAGAATTGGGGTTCTAAATTCTTGGTGTAAATTCTGGGTTTGCGCAAGTTCTGATATTATTTTTTTTGAGTTTACAAGGTATATACATTGGCTTAAGCCTTAACCTTTTATGGGGTTTTCTTGTTATCTGTGCTGAATCTTTTTTATCAATATTCCAAGTTTGATGGAGAAGGAAAGTTTTTAAGGTTCTTTTTGGAAATACCCAATATTGGCAATATTGTAGGCCAGATTCAATGGAACAAGATCCCTCTTTCTGTGGGGTTCTATGGCTTTATTTTAATTCAAAATTCAAGGTTTCTGTACTCTTGTATATTAAATAAAAGTTACCAATAACAATATTTTCCATCCTTTTTCTTGATATTTGCTTAAGGATCATGCATGTCCTAATGTTTGTTTGATATTGTTTTGATTTTGTTCATCTTCTTACCCTATCTCTCTTGCAACGGAAACAAATCAATCATTTAATTTTGATAAATTCCCGGATATAGGAAAATATGGCCTTGACATTTACCCCATTGTCATGGTTGCTTTGGAGTGGAAAGCATCAAGAACCTAAAATCTCAAATGGTTCATCTTTAAATTCATCACCTGATTCAGGATTGTGGGAATTGGATACTTTGAAGTTCCCTCTCGACCGAAGGAGGAACATGGCTTCCTCATCTAGAAAGGTTAAGCGGAAATGGCAGAGTCGTGAGGAGCGAAAGATTGATCGGGAATATGATATTGTTATTGTTCCATCGGATGGTGGATGTGTTTCAGGTTTCGAGTCTGATGATTCAGACTGGTCGGTTGGATGGTTGGAACCTCATGGCCCTGGATTCCATAGTGACGATGATTCAGATGATAGTTTTGCTGTGCTTGTTCCTTGCTATGGCTGTGGTTGTGCTAATGTGGAAGAAAATGGACAAGACAAGTTTCTGCAAGCCGTGGGAAACTTGAATGATATATATGCTACTGGTAAGAGTCTCTTTCTGTTATGTTCTTGTGGTTTGAATATGATTTCTGATATTGTTGTTTGTATATCTTGGAAGATGCGGAAAATTGGCCAATGAATTTCAAAGATTATTCAACACCTTTCTATTAAAGACCTCGTAAAAGGCTTCTCTTGGGTTAATCGTTTATTGCTGGTAAATTAGGCATTAAGGTATACTAAGAGAAACATACGTATTGATATTCATATAAATTTGCTGCTTTTGCAAATTGAAAGGTTCAATCAAATATCTCCGTTATGCGCACTATAACTAAGTGGATTATGAGGATGTGTACCTTTAATCTTCTCTATATGAATGCAATTACTGGTTCCTCATGTTAAATATTTGTCCCTTTTTGCCTCCACATAGTTAACAAGAGATTAGGGTTGAGGTATTGTTGCTCCCAAACACACACGCAAGTATACGTGGTCGACAAGTAATATAATGATAAGTTGAGTGTCGAACCCACAAAGACTCGTGTAAACTACTCACTAAATCACTAAAATTGTTATTCGATCAAGCTAAAATCAAAGTCCAATAATATGATTATATTATACTACAATTCTAAATAATAACTAAATTATCAAGTAACGAGTTGATTGTTGTGTATTCAGTAGAGACAAATATTCCAGGGTTGTGATCGATTCACCATTTGTATTGTGTTCTAATTAACTCTCCCTTTCATATAATTCACTCATGGTTGCTAATTAATCGATAAATGCTCTCATAGCCTTCTCCCGAAGTACTACTCACCTATTCTCAATAGATTAACACTTATATTCCTATGAAATCAATCTTTTAAGAACGCATTAAGATCACGATATTTAATTAAGCACGGTGACTAGGTATATTCCTATTCTAACCACAAATCCGCTCCCCCTAAGGGTTAAGATCATGCTCTCTTCAATTCTTCTCTAATCTAAACACGGCTTTCCCAAGCATAACATAGATAGTAAATAGAACTTAACTGTTGGCCAGACAATTAAGCAATTCAACACAGAATTGAAGAAACAACCATATATGGGTGAATTATAATCAAGGTCAAGCTAATATCAAACAACAATATTCATGGCTAAATCACAACCCCAGAACAATGGGTGTTTAGCCACTCATGATGTAATCAAACAATTGCATAAGTATTGAATCAATTGGAAATACTAGAAAAAGATGAAGAAAACTGAGAATTCTTCGCTTTCTCACGATCCCGTGTGTATCTCTACTCCAAAGTGGCGTCTCTCCTCTCAAAAATAGGTTTAGTCTTGCTTTTATATCAGTTGGGTAGGTCTAGGGCCGAAATAAACTTGTCCCGGGCAAAATAGGACACATTTCACGTCACCAGCGCCCAGCCCGGCACCAGGCGCCCTCCACGGCGCCCCATTATTTGTGCATACTGTTTTTGGCGCCACAGGTGGCGCCCAACTGGCCCTTTTTCTCGGTTTCGTTCATGTTGGCTCAAATCTCGCGCGTTTCGCCCTGTTCCGTTTAGAAATTGAAAAAACGTAAAACATGAAAGTTGTAGCCCTTTGAGTTAGGTTTCCAACCATATATTGTGGAGCCAAAATGGAGTTCTGAGCAAAAGGTTATGTGTATTTTACTAGACAGTGCGCAATATGCCCTCTCGAGTCTTCGTTTATTCTTAACTATCAAAGTTGACCCCTGACATGATCCCGACTTAATTCCTTGGGCTTTTACTCAGATTTCAAAGCTCCAAATCACTTGAATTCATTTCATAACATCTATATAGCTCGAAATCACTCCTACAAGGCATAAAACACATCGTTAGTGCAAAACGCAAACTCAACTAAAGTGCAGTAAATTAGAGTGTAATAATCGACTAAAATACGTAATTATAGCCTATCATCAGGTATAGTAGTACTAGTAGTAGCTGTTGCAGTTAACAAGAGAGTATGAAAGCCCAAGTGAGTAGCAGATAGTCAAGAGGAATTCCAATTCATGAAACTTTGCCACTAGGTTGTTCCCTTGAAGACCTCACGATTTAAGTGTTGGGATCGAAATAACATGGTGCATGCAGAAGCTAACAAAGTAAACCTTAGAGACGATAAATCAATCTTTCAGAGAGTTTTGTCTAGCTGGAGAATTTAATCCTTTTAGGAGTATTTTTCCCTTTCTTCAAGAAAGAGAGTCCTAATAAATTAGAAATTCAGGGGTTGGGCTGGTGGCAATTGACTTGAGCCTTCGGGTTTGCTCCCTTTCAAGGTCTCAAGTTCGAAACCCACTGGGTACAAATAATTTCTGAGGGCCATCGGACTGGGTAAAACCTGAATTAACCATGGTGCACTTGCGGGAAACTCCTTGCCGAGGGCCTTTGCACCCCCGGGATTAGTCGGGGTTCGAAGAGACTCGGACACCCGGTGCAAATAAAAAAAAATAAATTAGAAATTCAGGATAAAATCCTAACACAAAGGAGTTAACAAATTCCAAAACCTGTATTCATACAGCATGAATGATGACACAATTGCTTCTCGAGACTTAGAGAGGAATGTGATGATGCTTTTAAGCAACTAATTTGATCAACGCCTTTTTTTCTTATGTGCTTACAAATCTGAGTATTCAGTTTAGCTGGAAAGGCTTTCAAAGTTGAAATAGTTTCACTCTTACTAGTTTTGTATAGAACATTTTTTCCAACTAGAAATTACTCTTAAAGGGAGACTTATCAGCTTAAAAGTTGTAATCTTGCCTCAAGCGCATAATCCTTTGGATTTAAGTCTTGCTGCTTTGCTTCCTTCTTAATGTGCTGAAAAATAGTACTCTCAATTCTCCTTCAAATCCACTGCCTTAATTGCCAAAAGCTTCCCTGCAGTAATTAAGTTGGTGACTTAATGAGGTTACTTTCATTGCGATTGTTTATTGAATGGTCATCTTGTTGCCTATAGGTTTCTGTAATCCAGAGAAACTAGGTTGTAGTTCTTTGGCCCTCTTCTTTTCTCTTTCAGAAAGGTGGCAGTGTTAACTAGTAATAGAAAAGACAAGAGTGCCATGGCCAACCAACATTAGAAATGGAACATTTTCCCTTGTTATATTCAAGGAGCATCTCCAACGCAATAAATTACTTGCCCCTTGAACTCTTCTCGCACTGTATACTCTATGTTCTATATAACTAGGATCTTGGTCTTGTCCTAAATCACTTCATCAGTTAAGAGGAATTTAGCACCTTGTCTTTTATTATTGATAGTTTGTGCATAGATTTGCATGATTCTGTTATTCCTTGTTGCGAAGGAATCTGTGATTCTTACTTTGCTAGACCTTTTATTANAAGAAGAGTCCTTTCGAAGGCTTTGTATCAGACATCTTCGCTAGAAGACAAGAAGCAAAGATAAAGGATGATGCAGCTATGGTATATATCTACAAGATACTAATGAACTCTCTCTACGGTCGATTTGGTATAAACCCAGAAGTTATTAAAACCGAGATATGCACAGAAGAAAGATATCATGAGTTGTATAAAAAGGAAACTTTTTACAGTGCGGGGGTCCTGTCCCTTGGACGACTTGAGTAATGGGAGAATGGCAACTGGGCCCTGCAGTGGTAGAACCTCGTGAACCGGGCATACTATTGAAGAACCTTCTGTGAACTTTTCTTCTCTTATGAAATTTCTACTCAGCTTGAAAAGAAAAGAAGCCTCAAGCCGATAAGTCATCATGTTCGATAATTTCGAAAGAAGAGCTGAGGGCTGATCTACGACCACCCTCTCACTCACGGCACACATGCTATATGTGTGATGCCGATTTTAAATTTGCTGTTATTTGAAAGTCCTCATCTTTCTACAACATTGTTCTTTAGCTATTACACTCCACCCTCCCCAGACCCCACTTTGTGGGATATCACTAGGTTTGTTGTTGTTGTTGTTTGTTCTTTAGCTATTACACGTATTCTAATTTGAAAATTTCTCCTTAAACTTTTTAGTTTCTTTCTGATTGAGCATAAAAGTTAGCAGTAATGCATTGAATTAGATAAAGAAACAAAAAAACATCTGTAAAGAGTAAACTATTGGTAGCTTTCCCTTCCATCACACAGTTCTTTTAGCTTTGTACTTTGTATGATTTAGGCTTCTTGATTTTGGAATTTTACATGCAGAGAATAAGAAGTATATGGAGCATTGGGTCTCATCTCCGAGGAATCGCTGAAATCTAGAAATGCCAGTGGTGCTCTGCTGCTCCTGCGATTCTTTGTTGCAGTAGATCAAACTTCAGCTGTTTTGTTACTCATTACAATCTCAAGTATGGACTTCATAGAAATCTAAGATCGAAAACAAAGTAAGATCGTAAAAAGAAAAAAAAATATCTGGGAGAAATTGATTTGTAAAAAGAGTTCCGCTTGAAGGACATTAATGTTTAAGGAGAAGATACAGCAGAGGACAGAGGAATAATGCTGTTTCCTATCCACTTGAGATCTCAAAAAAAAAACAAAAAAGTAAAAGGAACTATGGTTTCTTGTGTGACTGTTCTCCAGAATTGGCTTTGAAGATGTGACTTCTTCTTGCTTCTTGTACATTGGTGTAAATTTGCAGTGGAAGGAGAAGGAAGGAAACAGATGAGGGAAGACAAAGAATTCTTGAAAACAAGATTAGCAAAAGGGATGGTTGTGTTATGCCTTTTTTATATCATTTTTTTGATGTAAATATCTGTGAATATGTAAATATGTTTCATCCAGTTGTAAATATGTCCATCCAGTTGTAGATATGTGGATTGGCTGATAACCTTCATAAGTACTGTAAATAATTGGAAACTTATGATGTCATTAGTTGCAATAATATGGCACTGCTGTTTAATAGTGATATTTTCCCTCCCTCTCTATATCCCCATGTTGTTATCCTATACTTCCTAATCTTAATGGGCTATGTTGTTACTGAAAGGGAGTCTTGGCGTGCTGGTAAAGTTACTGCCATGTGACCAGGAGGTCATGGGTTCGAGCCGTGGAAATAGTCTCTTACAAAAATGCAGGGTAAGGCTATGTACAATAGACTCTTGTGATTCGGCCCTTCTCCGGACCCTGGAGCATTGCGGGAGCTTAGTGCACTGGGCTGGCCTTTATGTTTTTACCGTAAACCTTATACATTGAAGTTGTTGGGTGGAAAGAAATGAAAGGAAATGACAGGAAACTTTATTGACATGGAGAAACAAATATAATGCTTCATTTTATTTATGCTAGTATTAGTACCCGTACGATGTGCGGATAATATTATGATCCTGCTAAATTCTATAAATTAAAAAGAACAAATTATATGAATAACTATTGACATAAACTTAAATATTATAACCTCATGTATAGCCGGTGATACAAACAAATAAAAATATGAATATTTGGAAATAATTTAATTTTAAATTTTTTATTTTACCCATTTTACATATAATGAGAAGTTTTTACATCCATGCAAGCATCATGGCCCCACAAAACTATTAGGACCATAAATTTCAAAAGTTTTCTTTTTCGTTCTTAAATTTCGTGTCAAGTCAAATTATCTTATCTATATTGAAACTGAGTGAAGTCATACTATATAGAATAATAACAAATAATAATACATTTAGTAATATCTTAATTTAAATTATAAAAATATATTTTATTATTATCTCAACATAATAAATTCTCACATCAACATCAACTTCTACCAACCTAAAATTACACAGTAATAAATTAATATATATGTACATGATAATTTATTAACAACCAATATATTCTAACTTTTGGGAGTTACCAACTTATAAAATAGTTGGATCGTAATTTGCTCAATAATTTTGCTAGTTACCTCAATTTTAACCACACAATTAAAATCACATTGTTTTTAACAATTTAAGTGATACCTTTTGGGATATAGTTAAGATTAATATATTATAATTAAATAAATGTTAACCTACATTAAATATTTTTCTTTTACGATGCACGTGTACTAAAAGAAGATGAGTTCTTACATGTAATTCTTCATTAAATGAATCTTACCTTATGATTTTGTGATACACTTTATTTTGTGTAAGTAGCAATCCCAAATAGTGCAATTATATTCATCTATGTGTTTTCCCTATCCAAATCTATTTCATTCTAATTGACACACACACACAATTTGAGAGAACATAAATATCAACAACGCGCTAAAAAGTCATTGTCCATACCTGAGCCATTACAGAAGAATCTATCCTCCTTCTTATATATTTTAGCATAGCAACTGCTAGCACTAATAGAAAAAAAAAATGTATGTATTGCTTCCAAATAATTGAGATATAAAATAAATTATAAAATATTGGATAATTAATTTTACCGTAAGGCAACACAATCGACATTTGTTTAGCCAATGTCTGAGTCGATTCATAATTAAACATTATCCCTAAGGTAGTTAAGAAAGTTAAGTTTTGATCCAACAACTCGGTAATTATGATTATGGGTTCGAACCTAAATTTTTAGTCTTATTTCTAGTAACAAACATTTTTTTGTTTTTTCTATTGTTTTTGTTGTGAACTCAAATTTCAAAAACTCTTTCTCATTATTTAAAACAATTCGCCTCACTCGTTGAGCCTCCCATTTGAATTGGAACATTTATGTGTTGATTAGCTTTCCTAATTAATTAATCAATCAATTCAAATTTAACTTTCTTTCCATTCAGATTCAAAAGAATCTTATTTACTCTTTCTATTTAAATTTAAATAAATATTCTGTCTTTCAATTTAAATTAAATACTATAACAAATATTCTCATAATTTGCCAAATGACTTTATATTAGCTTGCCACTTGGCTTAACCATAATGCATACTTGCTATATTGCCATGTGATTTTTTATTAGCTTGTCGTGTTATTTAATGTCCTTACTCATTGCTCTACTTTTAGTATAATACAATGAATATAGTTTTGTATTACCCTAAAATTAAATTTAACTTTGTTCTTTTGTTCCGTAGCTCCAATTGTTTTGTTTAAATATATCAATAATATTATTTTTCCTATTTAACTATTTTATTAAACAAATTTAAAGTGTAGACCCCTTCACATTACTTCTATTGTCCTCTATATACATTATTTTCTATCATATAATATTCTAATTATTTTTCAAATTTCGTGTTGTATCTATAATATAAACATTATCGTATTATTTTTCTAATTCTTTTGAAAATATGCCAAAGTTTAAACGAAGAAATTCTTTTATTATTTTCCATAAATCTACACTTTTAATAATTATTATTTAGTATTATGTGCAATAAGCAATTAATTTTTTTCCTTTTGTTTTCGTATAGAGTTTTGACTTTAATTTTTTTTATAACTTAACTACATAATAATTTTAATTACATCTTTATATTGTTAATTTGTTGCTTGTCATTATTTCATTATAAATGTTTTAAATTTTAGGTTTATAAATTATGTTTTCAATTGCGTGATATTATCCATATAATATATTTTTTCTCGTAATAATTCAAAAAGTTTTCTTATATCAAATTTAAATGTCTAATCCTTCTATATATCTACAATTATATTATTTGTTTACAAAAAAAATTCTCTATTTTTTGTTCTTTGTCTATTGTTACTATGTTACCCGTACTTAATATTGGTTACATTATTACTTAACTTTTTATTAGCTTGTCACCTACTTTATATCCTTATCTGCTACTTCTATTATAATATACTATAATGAATATGGTTTTTCTTTCTCTTAAAATAATCTTTTTATTTATTTTTAATCTTTCGCTATATAATATTTGAATTTATCAATAATATTTTTGATTATTAATTATTTATTTGCTTTATTTTATCATTTTAATTAATTCAAAGTATAAATTCTCCCACGCTATCTTTATCCCCCTCTTTCTAAATTATTTCCCCTTGTAAGTATGATATTTAATTTAATTTTATCTTTTAGTATTTTATTCAATAATAGACAAAAATAAAAGTGCATATGATCAAACTATATAGTACTTCACCAAAATATTATGGTATTTTTATTATTAAACTTCTAGTAATTATTATTTTTGTTGAAGCTTTAGCCTTTAAAAAAATTATTTTTATTGTATACTTGTTTAAAATTCAGAAAACTTAGTCTAAACAGATACTTTGGATTATCCATTATGAAATAAATAAATTATTAAATATATCTACATTCTGAACTTTAGGTTAAAACCTTAAAATATATTCTTCAACTCATTAAAAAGTATTGAATTTTTAAAATAAATTAAAATTGCACATTAGATTACTGTAGGATATATTCTTCTCACTTGATATTAGAAAAGGAATCCAAATACTATTGATATCAAAATTCTTTACTTTCCAAATAAAAAATTTCTGTTCGAAAATATTAGTACAATGATTGAACTTTATTTTTAAAAAAAGAATTCTTATTTCAATTTAATTTCAATAAATGGAATTCCATATATAGTTCTTAAGTGATATTTTCTTATTTGACAATCTCCCACAAACTCTTTAAGATTGCTAAGTGGCTTTATAGTAGCTTGCCACTTGGCTTAACCACAATGCAAACTTTCTTGCTTTAATATATATATATATATATAGATATAGATGCCACTATTACTATTTGGAGGGTCAAATAATTTTTCTTGTATCACAACTTTTTGATATATTTCTTACATAGTTTTAATTATAAAAGAGTTGCAATTATAGTACTTTATTTAGTTTCTTAGTATGTACCAAGATGTTATTCTAAAAATATTAAAAAATTTAATGTCCGAATTAAGATCGAAAATTAGAAGGTTTGATCTTAGAATTCTGATCCCTTCATTCTTTTTGCAAAAAGAAAAAGAGAAAGATCAAACAGATGTGGCAATGGTACAATGACAGCATACCCAATATCTCCCGCATAGTGGGATCTGGAGAGGGTAGAGTATATGCAGACCGTACCCCTACTTTATGGAGATAGAGAGACTGTTTCGTTTCCAATAGACCCTCGACAAATGTCGCAATGGTAACAAATAAGATTTAAAAAAAGAGAGGAGAAAGTCAAACCATTGCATCCCTCACCAAAAAAATAAAGAAAGAAAAGAAGAGGGAAGGACATGCAAGCCATAATGTTATGTTAAACTATATATCAGCTGGCAGATCCAGGAATTGGCAATTGTTGAGTTAGTTAATGGGGTTCCTACACTTGTGCTGCTTATTGTTTCTAAAGAGATCTAACACCCCTTCTTTGACCTAGTATGTTATGTTTCCCATCCCTTTTTGCTCTATACATCATGCACATTCTCCTTAAAGCAAAAAAAGCTTTTGCCCCTCTTCGATACAGATTCCTAATAATCATATAGTTTTTAATTTCCCCCTATGGTGGATCTCATATCATCTGCTAGATGATGAAAAACAATGTGTGATGGACAATAAAGAAAAGCAAGTAGTTGTATAGTGAGGGGGGAAAAGAAGGGAAAGAATGTTACACAGAGCAGCAAGAAATGCATATTCATGGTGGTGGGCTAGTCATATTAGAACAAAGCAGTCAAAATGGCTGGATCAAAACCTCCAAGGTCACTTCTTTATATTCTATATCTTCTTATGATGCAATCCATTTCAACTTCTTAATATCTTGCTATTGATACTGCTTGTTGCTTCTGCTTTCTTTTCATCTTTTGTTGAACCGAGGGAAACAACATCTTTACTCCTAAGGTAGGGGAAGGTCTGCGTACACACTACTCTCCCCAGACCCCACTTGTTAGATTATACTGGATTTTTTGTTGTTAGTTGTTATAAATTCATCAACTATGCCATAACAGGTTATTTTTTCAAGAAAATAACAGAATCTTGAACTACTAGTGTTTTGTACTGTTTAGGCAAAAATCTTAATGCAAATGTTTTTAGTTCCAATGAGCCATAAAAGAAAGAATACTAGAGAATGTCGGACCAAATAATAAAACTACAATAGTTGCTTCCTATTTGGGGTATTAACAAAGGGTTCAAATTATATACACTGATTTTCGCACTATTAGTGTAATTTAATTATATCAGGTTATTTTCCGGGTTATCAGATAATGTTTACTATAAATAGTTACTTGTTAATGTAGGTAACTTAACTTGATGGTGTAAAAGTATTATGTTAGTGCACAAAACTTAAACTCATTAACAAAGATAGAGTTGGACATCCTGGCATTTTCTCACTTGGGACCTTAGTCGCAAGGCCTTGATTTTACCTCAACTAAGGCATCATTAGCTAATACAAATAAATCTAGCTTACTACTATTTGTCTTGAAGACATTGAAAGTAGAAAAGAGAATGATGCCAAAGGATTTTCTTAGATCACTATAACAGTATAACTCAGAAGGGGAGCATTGGAACAATAGTAAGGTTGTCTCCGTGTGATCTATAGGTCACGGGTTCAAACTGTGGAATCAGCCACTGATGCATCAGGGTAGGCTACTTACATCACATCCCAAGGGTGCAGCTAGGGGTGTTCATGGTTTGGTTTGGATCGGTTTTTCCCTAAAAAGAAACCAAACCGTGTAAGTCGGTTTTTCAAATACTGCAACCAAACCAAACTATTCAAGTCGGTTTTTTATCGATTCGGTGTATGTCGGTTTTTCGGTTTTTTCGGTAATTTATCAGTTTTTTTGAGAAATACACTACCAAACACATATTCCGGCGACTACATTTTGAACATAACACTATCAAACCAATTGCTATTTGAGAAATCTATCATTTACTAAGATATGTTGATGATAATTGAACCAAATAGTGATGAATAATTTTAGGACTCAATTAAAAATAAATTATTTTAAACACGGGATGATTTGTGCACCGGGCTGCCCTTTACTATATCAGTATTACTCAGAGTCTACATCTATTTCTTTAAATACTAAAGGGTTCTCAGACAAGTATGATGCTTGTGCTTAAACAGAAGGGAAAGAAATGAAGTGAAAGGAAAGAGCTGATTATTTTGCTTGTTATTTGCAGATATGGAGGAGAAGGTTGAGTACGTACTCAAAATCATAGACGAGGATGGAGAATCCTTTGCAAGTCGGGCAGAGATGTATTACAGAAGAAGGCCTGAGCTTTTGAACTTGGTAGAAGATTTTTTCCGGAGTTACAGAGCTTTGGCAGAGAGATTTGATCATTTATCCAAAGATCTTCAGAATGCTAATCGAACCATTGCTACTGTTTACCCCGAGAGAGTTCAACTATCGATGGAGGATGAAGATGGAGAACATTTTCTTGCTGCAATAGAACCTCCTAGTGAATCTAATGAGCCTCCCAAAAGCTTACCAGCCGCACCAAAGTTAAGTGTCCCAAAAGTTCCTTCCTTTGCCAAACGAAACGCCAAACCTTCAAGATTAATGTCAAAGAAGGGACTGATCAAATTCAATGTTGACGATGCAACTACTGCTGCTCGTCCAAGTTCAGGTCTGAAAAAGTTCGATGCGCTCCAGGAAATCGATAGGCTTCAGAAGGAGATTTTGGGACTTCAGACTGAGAAAGAGTTCATTAAGAGCTCATATGAAAACGGGTTAGCAAGGTATTGGGAAATTGAAGAGCATGTCACCGAGATGCAAACAAAAGTTAGCAGCTTGCAAGATGAGTTTGGCATTGGCACGATGATTGAGGATGACGAAGCTCGGACATTGATGACTGCCACAGCTCTGAACTCTTGCCAAGAGACCTTGGCTCGGTTGCAGGAAAAACAGAAGCAATCAGTGGAAGATGTCATTGCTGAGCATCAAAAAATTTTAGAGGTCCTCGGAAAATTTGAGACTCTAAAGGGAAAATTTGTCAGTCATCTGCCACATCCACAAGTCCTCTCTGAAGTAAATAAGTCTTTTAATCCAGATTCGGAATTGAAGAAGTTGAACCGACAAGTCGAAACTTCTGAAACAGAGAAGCATAATCCAGAGAAAGTGCATTCGAAAGTTAAGGAGTTGCAAGCTAATTCTGCCACTTCTTCCATGTCTGATTTGGCAGAGAAGGTTGATGAACTTGTTGATAAAGTCATATATTTGGAAAGCGCACTCTCTTCCCAGAATGCTTATGTAAATAGATTAAGAGCAGAGACAAATGAACTTTATTCACATCTGACCAAAGCGGAAGAGGAGAAGGGGAGTTTGGTCGAAGATTCAGAGAGCATGAGCAAGAGGATAAGACAACTGGAGGAAGAACTTCTCAGAGTTCAAAATCTCAAACACCACCAACCTCATCTTACTGAAGCAAGTTGCAGTTTTGATGATCTCTCTGAGAAATTGCTCAATAAGAAGCAAGATGAAGATGTCAAAGATACTTTGCAATCCAATAAAGTAATCGGCGTTTCGGCTGTCGATAAGGCAAAGCAGTTTCAAGCTCACGAAGCAGTCATTCCTGGAGCAAATGTTCTGGGGAGCTCCATAGGTACAAGCACTAAGGATTGTCTAAAGAAAGAAGTCTTGCAAGAACAGGAGGGTTGTCTTGACATTGACCAGCAAAACCTTGTTGAAAGCCACTTGAGCAACGATGCTCGAGATGGACAGACGGGTGTGGCTTTAGAAGCTAACCAGGGTGTTTCAGGTGTCTATAAGGCAAAGCAGTTTCAGGTTCATGAAACGATCATTGCAGAAAGAAATGTGCTAAGTATCTCCAAAGGTGTTAGTACTAACGATGGTCTGAAGAAAGAAGGCTTGCAACAACCGGAAGGTTGTCTTGAAGATGTCCAGCAAAACTATGCGGAAAGCCACTCGAGCAACGATCCTCGAGATGGAAAGTGGGTTGGCACTTTAGAAGCTAACCACGGAGTTTCAGGTGTCGATAAGGCAAAGCAGTTTCAGGTTCATGAAGCAGTCATTCCGGGAGCAAATGTTGTAGGTATCTCCAAAGGTGTTAGTACTAATGACGGTCTAAAAAAAGAAGGCTTGCAAGAACAGGAGCGTTGTCTTGAAATTGACCACCAAAACTATGCGGAAAGCCACTCGAGCAACGATACTCAAGATGGAAAGAGGGTTGGCACTTTAGAAGCTAACCACAGAGCTTCAGGTGTTGATAAGGCAAAGCAGTTACAAGTTCATGAAGCAGTCATTCTTGGAGCAAATGTTCAAGGTATCTCCAAATGCGCAAGTAGTAAAGAGGGTATGAAGAAAGAAGTCTTGCAAGAACAGGAGTGTTGTCTTGAAATTGACCGGCAAAACTGTACTGAAAGCCACTCACGCAATGATACTCAAGAGGGACAGACGGCTGGCACTTCAGAAGCTAACCAGGGCATTTCAGGTGTCGATAAGGCAAAGCAGTTTCAGGTTCATGAAGCCATCACTCCTGGAGCAACTGTTCAAGGTATCTCCAAAGGTGTAAATAGTAAGGGAGGTCTGAAGAAAGAAGTCTTGCAACAACCGGCAGGTTGTCTTGATGACCACCAAAACCACGTTGGAAGCCACTTGAGCAACGATCCTCGAGATGGACGGACGTGTGGCACTTTAGAAGCTAACCAGGGATCAGGGTTGACAGACAAAGAGACCACTACTACCCCTCGTCTGGTGGCATCACAAGGTGTACGTGTGAGGGAGAAATTGAAGACAGACATATGTGCAGATCAAGATCATTCTGGAAAAGCTGAATATACTATGTACGCCGACTCCAAAGTCGGTAATGCCTATAATAGTTTTCAGTCTGAAGAAGCTGCTGCCAATCAACAAAACTATTATAAAGGAACTGAGTATGTCAAATCTCATGGTTATGACGTAATGATTTCAAAACAAATGAGAGCTGGAGAGGAAGCAAAGAAACAAGATAACCTCATCCCATTTGAAGGTAAAGAAGAAAAGTTTCCAAAAGCCAATCATCATGACCAAGACAATTTTACCAAAAATGGCCCTTTAGAGGAAGCAGCAGATGTTGGGATAGAAAAAGGTTTTGACAGAAGTCAACACGGGCATGTCGAGCAAAGGTGGACAAATGATATTGCTAACAGAAGTGACGATTTTCCCGGTTCTGCTCCTGTTAATCAGAAGGATTCCAAAGAAAGTGAATGCATCACATCTCCTGGTTGTGATGCAATGATCTCAAAGCAAATCAGAATGGGAGAGGAAGCAAAGAAACAGGATATTTGGCATAACCTCATCAAAGGTAAAGCAGAAAAGCTGTCCATATCCGACCTTCAGTATGATCATGACGATTTAACAAAAACTGGTACTGCAAAGGATGCAGAAGAAGTTGAGATAGAAAAAGGATTTGACAAAAGTCAAGACGTGCATGTTACAGACCATGGCTCAGCCACCAGGAAAAATGTCGGGAAGGTCGAGCAAACAGGCACAAAGAATCTTGCAGACAGAAGGGACGTTTTTCCCAGTTCTATCAAAGATAAAGAAGAAAAGCTTTATAAAACCAACCATCAGAATCACCTGAATGATATTTTCCAAGACGCACCATCAACGGATTCTCCAGATGTCAATATGGAGAGAGGATTTGTTGGCAGTGAAAGCTTTCATATTTCAAATGATGACTTGGCCACAAAACGACATGTGAATAAGGAAAAGCAAGCTAGGGCAAAAGATGCTGCAGACAAGCGTGATCATTTGAACATTTCTGTTGAAGGTAAAGAAGAAAAGCTTTACAAAACCAACCACCAAAATTATACAACGGATTGTTCCCAAAATTCTCTATTGAGGGATTCTCCAGAGGTTAAGATGGAAATGAGGTTTGGTGAAAGCGATCAACATGTTTCAGATGATGAATCCGCAATCAGAAGAGATACGAGAATGGAAGAGCAAGCTGACGCCACAGCTATTGCAGAGAAGAGTGATCGTTTGCACATTCCCCCGGAAGGTAAAGAAGAAAATATTCAGAAATCCAACCACCCGAATTACCAGTATGATCTCCCTATAAGGAATGCTGCCGACATCAAGATGGAGAAGGAATTTCGTGAAAGGGAACACATAAATATTTCAGATGATTTCTCAGCTATCAGAGAAGAGAAAACAGACGACCTAGCAGGTAAAGCAAAGATATTGCAGATATTACTGGTGATTTTCTAAGTTCTGTCAAAGTTAAAAAAGGTTTTTTTTTTTTTTTTTTTTTTTTTTTTTTTTTTTTTTTTTTTTTTTTTTTTTTTTTTTTTTTTTTTTTTTTTTTTTTTTTTTTTTACATTTCTAACTTTAACAATACAGTGAGGGACGATCCACATGCAGAGATGGAGGAATCCGACAAAAGTCAGTCTTTGCGTTCATCCAATGATTCAGCTATCTCAAAAGATGTTAGAGTTGAACAGCAAGCAAGCAGAATAAACATTGCAGACAAGAGTGCTTCTTCTACAAGCGAAGAGGGGAAAATCTCTTCCGACCAAGGAAGTTATTTCAATGATCTATTGCAGGCTAGTCCATCTGGAGCTACTCAAGATGACATTTCAGGAAGGGGATTCAAGGAAGATGTTCATACAACGAATCCTCCTCGTCATGATTCAATTTTCTTTAAAGACACGGAGATACAACTTCAGAAGCTGGAATATGATCCTTCCAATTCAGAGAATTACCTTGATAACATCCAGGTGAAAGGTCAAGGAAGCACTCTTCGGAAGTCCACTCCAGAAAAATCAGACCAAGATGAAGGTACAGGCGCATCCATTAGTGGCTCAGGGACCTCAATCGCTATGAACGACAAAGGTAGAGAGAAGGTAGGTGATGATCATGATGTCAATGTAGCGGTTGGATCTGCCACAGAAAGCTTCTCCAAATTGAATGAAAGCAAGCAATCAGATAATTCTTTAAGAAAAATGGAATTCCGGAACAATATCAAGTCAGAGGAGCAAAATAATGATTTCATTCAAGTAAAAACAGATGGCGACTTTCCACAATCCAATTGGCATAACCAACTTGAAAAACATTCAGCAAAGGTCCAAGTGAGAGAGATTCCAAGCACTGGCCCTGATAACGAGCTAGAAGAATGGGAAAGTATTTTAGATAATCTTCCATCCGTCTTAAAAGATAGTAAGAGAGAAGACCTACACAAGGATGAATTCCCAGATCAAGGTACCTGTGCTTTTAAGCTGTGAAAAAATATATACTCTCTCTCTTTGTCAACTAAATTAATTAACCTATGGCAGCTGTTGCAGGGAATCAAGAGTTCAGAACAGTTCACAATGGGCTCTACATGGAACAAGATGAATCGGGATTAGAGGATGACCAACCAAACTGGAGAGAACTGTTCCTAAACAGCCTGGATGACAGAGAGAAGATACTACTTGAGGAGTACACATCAGTTCTTAGAAATTTCAAGGGTGTGAAGAAGAAACTCAATGATGCGGAGAAGAAAAGGAGAGCGAGCCACTTCCAATATGTTGTGCAGATGAAAGTTCTAAAGAATGCTAATGCCTTGAAGGATGCACAGATTCTGTCCTTACAGCACAGATTGAACTTGCTTCAGTCAAACGATGCTGAAACAGAATTTTTGGGTAAAGCACTCTCACATTCCACTGACATGAGACCGGAAGAAACTGCACCAGAAGAGACAAGAATCTTAGATATTGGGGAGGATGACGGAGATATCAAAGTTACTGATGTTGATGAAACACACTCCTTCACCACTGTTGAGGAGAAAGTACGGATGGATATTGATGATTTGCTGGAGGAAAACATAGAGTTGTGGCTCAGATTTAGCACCTCATTCCATCAACTACATAAGTTCCAAACTTCAGTTCAGGATCTACAAGCTGAAATAAAGAAAGTGAAGGAAGAATGCAATCAAGATACAGTTCAACCACAGTCGCTACTCTCAGGCATCCGACCAATCTATAGACATCTAAGAGAGATACAAACTGAGTTGACATTGTGGTTGGACCATAATGCAATGCTGAAAGATGACTTACAGCACAGGTTATCATCTCTATCTAATATTCTCGATGTGATAACAAGATTGTCAAAGTCAGGGTCTAAAGAGAATGATACAGTGCTGAATGCCTATCAAGCAGCAAAATTTCAAGGTGAGATTTTAAACATGAAGCAGGAGAACAATAAGCTAGCAGGTGAACTCGAAGTAGCCATTGAATGTATACGGAAACTCCAAGATGAGATCCGGAGCACATTGTCAAACCTGGACGAAGAACTTGGGCTGAAAAACCAACAAGCAAGGCCTCGATCTAGAATTCCCCTGAGGTCCTTCTTGTTTGGAGTGAAGTTGAAGAATAAGAGGCCATCCATATTTTCCTGTGTAAATCCAGCATTGCAGAAACAGTACAGCGATTTAACAGCAGTACCAAAATAGATGACTTTTTAGCAGCAGTAGCCAAATAGATGTCTCTTGTTTCCCCTTCTTTTTTCTCCCCTTTAACTCTCTTGTAGTCAATTTTTAATATTTGAAAATTTATTGAAGGGAAAGAGGTGACCTGCCTTTATTGAGTAGAAAGAGTGCCAGATTTCCTCTTGCTTTAAAGAATTGTGCCATGTTCTTATTTTCAACTATTTTGTTCTTCTCAAATTCACCAATTTCTGCAAACTACACAGCTCTTTCTCTAAGACCTGGTTTCACATATTGAATAAGCCTACTTCAATTTCGTTTGCTGAATACATAGATTTAAGCAAGGTTCCATCGTTATAATCTGCATTGAATTGCCGCAATATGTTGATGCAGTTTTTCTGATCAAATCTTGTTCATTGAATTTTTAACACAACATTTCGAAAGCACCAAAAATATAGTCTCTAACCCAGTATCTCAGCAACATATGACATATGCCAATATTATTTGCCAATAATAACAACACCTGGAGATAATCAACCCTCAACAAGGGAACATATAAAAGAATTTTGAATTGCCACCTAATTATAGACAAGACCGTACGAGAATACATTTACATAGATGAAAGCTGAAGCACAAAATAGCAGGTGCGAATTAGACATTACATACAGAGCAGGTCCGGCCAGTCACTCCAATTTACTCTCCCCCATCCTCAGTGCCTCACCTAAATCCCCTACCTCAACTCCCTTTGAAGACTTTATTACATGTCTCGGTTGCAGGACCTTGAACACCACTACTTTCAAGTGCCAAAACTATTTTAGTGTTCTCATTCTTATTGCTATTCTCACCCTGGTTCCTGATGCTATTATCGCTGGCAGTCTCTAGACTTGGGATTAGCTTTTCTTGAGCCCGAACTCTTGAAGCTTTACTCTCTCCTCCATGCTCTTTCACTATGCGACCAAAAATTGAAGTTTGACCTTCAATTTTCTCTGTCAACAAGTTGCTTGAACCAAAAGTTTGACCTTTTCGGACCTGCTGTTGTGCATCCATTGAAGCAGCTCGATCAACTTCAACTTTCTCTATCCGTGCATTAGACAGAATATCAGTTGGATTTTCTTGGATAGCGACTGCTTTAGTTTTCGCTTCAAGTACCCTTGCTGAAGAAGATGTAGGGGCAGCGGGAACCCCAGATGACACATTTGTTCTAGATGGGACAGCCCCTGGGTTAGGTCGAACTGCAGATTGTGAGGCATTTGACGGACTACAACCTGGGGGACGGGAAACCAGGCCATTTCGAATGAAGTGCACATTACTGGGCAAACCATTAGTGCTACCTGGCACAGATGATTTGACTGCTGGAGTTCCTCCGGGCATGATTTGGACGACTTTTTTAGACTCTGCAGCCTTCTGCAGTGAGGCAGCAGCACCTGAAGGGGTAGGAATTCGGGAGCCTGCAGCCATAGCAGCAGTTTTGACCATTGAATCTGGGTTAATAGCAGGTTTTGGCAATGGATTTTTTGGGAGTACTCGAGGTTTTGAAGGTACTAAATCTTGCTGATGCTCGGATTTTGGACCACCAGATGCATTATTGGCAGCAGCAAAATGCGAAGAATTACCTGGTGCACTGCCTGAATTTGGCCCCACTGAAACAATACCGCAATTTAGGTTAAAATTAGAGCTTGCATAAATGGATGAAACAATTGAGGAGGTGAGTAATTAACTTTGGATATTCAATGTACCATTAATATACAATACACAAAGGCGGAGTCAAGAAAGGGAAGAACCATGTTCTAGGAACCACCTAAAAATATCTCGGCATAATGCTGGAAAACAGAATTGCTACTAAAAATTTTGAATTCCCGATTCTCTACTTAGCATAGAACTGTTGTTTTCTAAAGGTATTTAGCATGCAGAAATTACCAATTGGAGTTTGGATTGTCAAAGTCTTCTTGAAAAGGAAGTAAATGAAGTCAGTACAGCGGACACCTTTAAGATCATATTTCATTACATCTGCAAAGACTTAACCCTTGGTTTTCCATAGCGCAACCTAACCAGCATATTGAAGGAATTCAGATTTTAGCTAACCTAATTGTTGAATTTTAATCAATGTATAAACCACATGCAGATAAGCTCAAAGACATCAGACATTCGACTTATCATATGACACGCTTAAAAGCCCCCATCTAGGCAGTATTGATGACAGTAGTGTGGGAGCAGACATATGGACATTATTGATGACATGCAGTTAAAACAATTACCATTAGTGCTGATTGGACAAGCTGCTCTCAAGTTATCCCCGAGAGCCAGGGACACTGCATGACGAGCTGCAAGCTGAGCCTCCGACAGCTGTGAGCCATTCCCCGCCATGTTCCCATGTCGCTTTCTAATAATTGCCCATCTCTGCACAATGAAATATTCATTATCTTAAAGTAGATTTACATTGAAGATCATTGTAGAAGATTTTATAACAGGCAGAAATTATTTTACAAGTTCTGTTACTTTGTTAACATCTAGTTCTTGCTAGCTCCACAATAAATACTTTGGCATCTCAGTCACTTTCCATCATTTTAACCAACAGAACCTCGGAAAACCAAGACATCCAAATCATANGGGGGGGTCTTGGAACATGATATCACTAGCAGTGTTCAGTTTAATTAAAATGATGAGCTATGACATGGAGAAACGGTATTTAGACATTACTTCACCATATGTACTTAGCTCGATTAACACTTACATTCCCGACTAAATCTCCTTCACGCACTTCAGAAATTCATTACAACCGAAGAGGAATAGAATGGAGGAGGAGATATCCTCAAATTAATATAACAGTGCTACATCACTAGACCAAAGTTTTGGATTAGTGTTCTAAAACTGTAAAAGAAGTTTATTAAAAATATTGGAAATGGCTTACAGTCTCAATCCACATAGATGAGAGCAGAATTATTCCATCGTACAGCAAAATAGAATATAGAAAACTGAATTTATTCTAGTAAATTTGGCATACCTCCTCCTTTATATAGGTAATACTACAAATGAAATTGGAAAGCACCTGGTGAAAGCAACTATGATATAAATAGGTACATTTTATCATTGTTAAGAGCGTACATCGCATCATATTTTGCCACTTTTGCAATGAAACTTAATGTTTTAACATCCATGAAGTTAGCAAGTGTGAGTGGGGAACAATATATCCTAAAATGTGAAAATTCGGATATTGCAAGCATGATTCAGTTGCTTCCACTGTTCAAAATAGGAAAAAGCATACACAATGAAGACATACTTACCTTCCTTACAAAATTTACCATTTGACAAGGTGGGGCCCTTTTACTTAATTTTCGTTTAAATCTAGTTCTTAATTTTGATAAAGTAAATGATTTATTAATGATGGGTGAAACCCTGTATACAACCCGTGTGTACCAAAGATAGAGAACCTACACCACAATATGATTCTCTACGAAAAAACCCAGTCAGCTATACACATAGGAACCTCATGGGTACATCAAAAAGAAACTAGAAACAGGAGACTACATTGCAATTAAATCAAATTCTCCTATTTACTTTTCCATAGTCTTCCAGAAAACAACTGATTGTTTTCAATTTATTGACCTTCCTTGCACATTTTGATGATAGGTTCAGACTTGAGCAATCTGTAATATTGGCTTGAGTGCTCATGAATTTTGCTTTTCAAAAAGGACACATTAATGAATAACAAGTGTTCAAGCGCAGATTAATTACTTAGCTGCACTAGACAATATCTTTTCTTGTCATTTACGCAAATTTAGAAGGCGTAATTATTTGGATGAGATCCATATAGTAAACTGCAATTGCAAGTAACCCAAAGATTAATGCACTTTTACGTTTTAACTCCAAGCGAGGATTTATCAGTATAATAAGACACTGAATTTGTCCTCTAAAAGAAATTTCTTTTGACCGTTAATTTATCCTCTATCAAAATTACTTTCATTAAAAAAAAAGCAAATGAGAAAGGAAAAGTTCCCGATCTGCAGAACAGCACATACTTGTACTAACTCCTGTTAAGGACAAGGTCAAAAGAATTTGTTAAACCAGAGTGTAAATATGACCAGAGAACATATAAATTGCCAAGTATATACAAGATTAAACCTGAGAGAGTTGTGACGCTGTTCTGTCTCCCTTAAAGTCCCCTTTCAATATATTTGCCCAATTTCCTTCACCACACTTTTGTACTGCAGCAATGAGTTCCATATCCTCTGCTGCAGACCAAGGCTTTCGTCTTCGCCGAGGAGGAAAGTTAGAATTAGCTGGTCCATTGGTGTCCACAACCTCAGCAGCCGTGACAGATGGAAGTGGTTGTTTTTCCACAGAAACCGGGACCGTAATTTTCATCCCATAAGCTGAAATACCATGGAGTGAATTTTCTGTAGCGGTTCCAGATGTTTGCCCGTTGGGTATGCTTATAGTCAATGGAGCTTCAATAGTATTTCCATTTGACATATGTGAATCACATGGAACCCCAGAAGCAATTAATACCTATCCAAGCCCAAAGCAACAAAAATTGACTGTATGAGAAAAGAGAGAAGCATGTGTGTCACCCTGAAAATCAGCAACTAATTCTAGTAATAGATAGGAGTATGCACTTAAGAGTAGAAGATGGCATCCTAGCATAGTCAAATAAAAGCCAGTGCAATGTTTCTTTTTTTTCAAAAATAAAAAGCAAGTCCAAATACATAAATAACCAAAGCTCGCCACATACTAATTCCATTTCTAAACCATGCAAAATGAGTTTGTCAAAAAGTATTTATCGCCTAAGAGGTGCACTTCCAAGACGTGGGGAATTATATCTCAGGTTCTTAACCCATTTATGTACTCCATAATATATGTAATGGACCAAATTTAAGATCCTTCACAGGTAAATGTAAAGCCATCAGCACAGTCATTGACTTAAAATATTTCAGCAGTTTTGGGAAATCTGTGCTGCAGAAATAAAATGACTAATTTACTAGTACAAGTTAAATTGCAGCTGGCCGGCCGTTAGGTTGGCAAACCAAACTTTAAAATGAAGCCACTTTGAAAACATTTTTAGGAAAAATGAAGGAAATCACCATTTTGGGCAGGTCTTGTCCACTTACCTTCACATATGCTGTAGCCTCTGCTGAAGCCTCACTGCTTA